TTTATCATGAAAAAATTTTAAGTTTGTAATTGTATTATTCTGTATTAAATCATTTAAGGTAAAGTCATATGTCGTACATATGCGAATTTTATTCTTAAAATAAATTTAGAAACTTTACTACTTGATTAGAATAGTAAATTTTTTTTATTATGAAAAAATTTTAAGTTTGTAATTGTATTATTCTGTATTAAATCATTTACAGCTAATTTTATAATTTATGGATCATTAATAATTTTTCAGTTGCATTCAGTCGCAATATTTTATAGTAATTTTATTATAAAATATTTTCAATCGCATTCAGTCGCAATTTATTAGTAGTCCATAAATTATGAAATTAGCTGTAAAGTAAAGTCATATATCATACATATACGAATTTTATTTTTAAAATAAATTTAGAAACTTTATTTTTCGATCAGAATAGTGATAGTGATACATCACAATACATAAAAATGTTTGACAAACATGTTCTGCTTGTATAATAAAATAATTTTTCACATAAGCCCAAAAATTAATTCATAGCAGAATATCATTTATTGATATGTTTGCTTGTTTGCTCAGGAGTAAATAATTTTCAACCAAAGCATTCAATATTTGCCAGCCAAATATTTAGTCAACGAAATGTAAGCAAAGTAAAAAATCTATATATATATGAATCCCAATGCTCTTGTAAATGCATGCCTTTATTTTGAATATAAAAATTTTAGCGTTAGGATATGTTGCATATTCTTCTGCTCCAATATCATGAGAAAATGGAAATTATAAGGCATATAAAAGGGCAGTATAATGAAAATTAAAATATTGTCGCTATATAGTGATTTATTTTGTTTTAAATTGTGATATATAATACTATTTTAAAATTTCATTATGTCTTCAGTAATATATGGCAATATTTGTAATTTTTTAGTTAATTTACCTCAAGAACATATTGTAATGTTTTCTGTTATTTTTCAACTCTTAGATGATGTTACGTGATATCCAAAAATGAGCTGAAAGAAATAATGCATTAGACAATTGAAATGGTGAAAAAAAATTACGTTCAAAGGATTTGGTAAAATCCCGCTTTTAGTAATTTGTTAAGTCTCAAAGTGAAGGAATATATATGGCTGATATGATAGCAAAGCATCATTATAAGATCTTCTGATCAGAAAACCTGGTTATATTTCCATAACTTAACGTCAAAGTATGTCCAGTAAAGATCGAAGAGAAGTTGGAAAATGACCAGATACAGTCAAACTTATATGTAACAATATTATATATATCGACAATTGCATGTACTGATAAATTTTTTATGTACTATTTTATTATTAATTAAAAAACCTTTATTAAAAAAATAAAAATAATAATATTAATAATAATAAAAAAATATAATCATAATAATGATAAGAATAAAAAATAATAATAATATTTGTATATTTTTATATTACGCAACCACGATTACGATCACAAATATAAACGCGAACACAATTATGAACTTAAGTGATATTTGTATGCGATCACATTTTTGAAATCAAAACAAAAAAATGTGTGCGCAAAATAAAAGAAAAAAATTATATAATAAAACAGAGTCCATAGGGGTGGTGGTCAGGAGCGTGGTGGTAAAATATAAATATTTTTTGCGCGCATTTCGTAAAATTCAAAAGCACTTTTATCTCTAATAAAACTAACTCAAATTTTATTCAATTGCTATGTTTAAAAGTTCGTTAGAAAGAGAATAAAATTGTGGATGATATAGTATAATAATATTTTAAAATTAATAATTGATTTCTTTTTTTTTTTTTTTTTTTTTTTTAGATGCTGCGACTTCGAAAGACAACCTTAACACTTAAGCCTAACACTTACTGAAGTAAGTACTAGACACCAACTTCATAACGACGTGCCGGCTAATCAATCTAAAGTATTTCCCTATTTTTTCAAGTTATCCACCATGTTAAGCGTATTCCTCTCGATGTGTTCATCTAAGTATGATATCCTAACTTCGGCAACTCAAACCACTTGTTATAATCTGGTATTAGGTACTTAGCATCAAAGGTATTGTCAAATTTGGATAGAGAGATCATTTCAGTCATAATGAACATCATCACTACATTTACCAACGGTCTAATGAACTATAACCAAGATCCAATTACTTGGTTTAACTTTATCACTACTATATAGAGAGCCACAGGGTTCATGGGATAATACTACCAAACAGTGATCTCCAGTTGTGCATATAGACCATATCAACCAGGTGACTTTGATACCCATAATGTCAAACAATTCAGGAATTGAACCTGATCTCTAACCCTAGTGACAGCTCGATTAGACGATGTTGCGGGCGTGCAATGCAGTTTATTATTACCATTGATCTAATCTACTAAATTCTGTTCAATCACTTTCTTAATTTTATATACAATCTTATGATCATATACAGAAATAAGGGCCTCTGCTAAGTGAGACGTAAGACTGTATCCATTACAGACCAATCAGCGAAGGCCAAGTTTCTGTCGATCCCTGACTTCATTTGCATCTACTTGTTTTAACATTGTGCGGTATTTAGGCATGATCAACATTGATTGATAGATCAATCAACCAGATTTGTACGTATGTTAGTACATACACTCATCGTATTCAGTACATATGAAATTCTTATAAAAATCATCTAGTTTTATGTATCGGCTAATAACTGAACTGATGGCCTATTGCTGTGTAATAAAACTTTAGCTTAATAGGAGACTCACAGTTTAACCACTGAGTCAGGGATGCCGATCCTAGTTAATAATTGATTTCTTTTTTAATATTGCTTTCAAATTGACATTTTTCTTAAGATATTTATTATTGAAATCTGATTGGTTTATTATTTTATACTGATATTGATCAATAAATTATAGTAATATTGGTATATAAAATTTTCTTAATATACCGATAACTTGATATACCAATATTTTTTTCTCAAAACAGCTGTATTATTACATAGAGGTTTGACTGTATTATGTTTATTGCTAGTCATAATAATAGATTATATGAATTAATTTATGTTAATATTGAACCATTATTAACAATATGGGTATGTTAAACAATATATTACTATTATATTATACGCTCCTAATTAGTAATAAAAAAATAGTTTTACAGTATCTTCTCCTCCAAGGTCATCATCACCATCAAAATGCAAAAAAATAAAGTCTATAGACTAATATTTATTTTGTATTATTATTGCTTAATAAACTTGAATCTGGTGGTCATAATTAAAAATTTTTTTTCAATGCTTAAATTTTCTTAAGTAAATCTGAAATTTAATGGTTTAATAATTACGTACCATAATCTTGCGACCATAGTATTACGCAAATATTATAGACTGTAAACATTTCGAAGTACTTTGGCTGTCGTCTTATGCAAACTTTATAGACCGTAAGTATTTCAACCGTAGTATTACACAAATATTATAGACCGTAAATATTTCGAAGTACTTCGACCATAGTATTATGCAAACTTTATAGACTGTAAATATTTTAAAGTATTTCGACCGTAATATTATGCAAACTTTATATACCGTAAACCAGTGATGGGTTTTGGACCAGGTTTTTAGTTTTGGACAAGATTTCAGACATATAAAATTGTGTCCAAAACCTGTCCAAAACTACCTAAAATTGTCCAATTTCTTAACATTGCCGTAAACCTTTCAAAGTATTTCAATCGTAGTATTACGCAAACTTTATAGACCATAAATCGTTTGAAGTATTTTGACCATAATATAGTGTAAACGTCACAGATCATAAATCTTACGAAAAACTACATCAAAAACGTAAATTTTACATAAACTTATGCCATAATACACCCATAAATTTACAAACTAAACATCTTATACAATATTTCGCATTAAAAATATTCCTGATGTATACGTTATTTTACATAGTGTCTAATCAGTATATTGTATGCATTATTTTTGGTTAGATTTTATATGTTTAATCATAATATTAAATACATAATTTTTGATCAGATTTATATGTAATTTTGGTTGCAATTTTACACATTTATTAAATAAATATAATTTTTGAAATTAATTAATAAATTTTTTATTAAAATAAAAATAAAAATAAAATAAAAAATAAAAAATAAAAATAAATTTTCATTTATTCTATATGAATTAATCAATTATAATATTAAATAAGAGTTTTACAATTTAAAATTAAAATTTAAAGATAAAATAAATATTTACCCGAATCTATGCAATAAATTTTTATATTTCTTGATTTTCCTAAATTATTATTATATTATATTATTATATTATATATATTATTTCATGATATAATATTAAAAATAAATATAAAAATAATTTTTTTTGAAACATTGATGATGCCAGCTTTGATGGTGGGAAAGAGGTGAACAAAAAGTGGATAAAGAAGAAGACGAAGGGTGGACAAATTATGGATTAAGAATCTTAAGTTATCTATGCTTAATTAATCAATAGAATATAACATTCGATAAAATAAATAATTGCTTCATAGAAGATTACAGTACAATTATATTTGAATAAAATTTGTATTGCAAAAAACCTTAAGATCATTGAAAACAATAGTTTTTCTGTTTATTAAAACTTCGATCTTTTAATGAAAATTAATACCGACCGCCAAACTAGCCTTAAACACCGACACTTTTTCAAAGACTTTTGTAACTAGATGCTTTGTTTGTTCGTCATGCAGGATCGAATACAATGAATGCAGATAAACGGTGAGTCAACCACTATCAAAAAGACTAATTATGTCTCACCAAATTGGTAAAATACAAATTATAAAAAGCTATAGTAATAATTTAATTGCTATCCCCAATAGTCACTTCTTTGTAATCTACTTTAAGTATTCTCGTCAATTCGAACGGACTCTTCCAAAGACTTTCGGATATTGTTATCAAGTCAATATGTATGTATTTACATACTCTTTATGAAAAGAAAATTTTGATTAGATTAATACGTGCGTTTATATTTAATTTAATAGCATAAACTGAACATTTTTGAGTTGCTGATAGAATATCATCATTACATACCATGACTTGACTTGATAGACCAGCCCATCATCACCACCAAGATCATCACGATTTGCCTCTTCACCAGAGACCACGTCAGGTTGTGGGGTTATAGTTAGTAACCTTTCAACCAAAAATTTTCTGTCATTATCATCGTCTTCTAGTGAGAGAGGAGACAAAATTTTTATATAAATGTCCTTTAAATCTCCTTCCAGTTGGTTTAGCTCAGGATTAATACAAGGTAGTTTCATTTTCATATTATGAACAAGGATGGTCTTTAAAACACTGGGGAAAAGTTTTTCTTTTACGATGGAAAGTTATACTCGCGTTTTCAATTTTTAACAAAGTTGAGGTTTTTATTTATAAAAAAATTCTCAGAACCTAGAACTCCAAATTTTTTTTTTTAAAAAAAAAAAATCGATTATCAATCGCAGCGCCAAGTGATTTTCATATGAAATTTCACGCCTTTTTTTTACTTCGTTGATGTTGATAAGCAGGCTGTGTAACTTTATTATACTTTTTTAAGATTTTTTTTTATGATTGTTCGTTGAGTTCGATCATTTTGTTACATGGTACCGAATAAGACCAGGGGTCATAAGAGAATTTATAAAAACGATGAATTTAAAGATTCTTTTATTTTGATAATAAACCTAAGAGAAAATATATATAAGATATTTTTATAAAAAGTTCAAACTACAGTTTGATAGATATTAATAACAATGTATTTGTTATAGATAGATGGATGACATAAACTCTAAAGAATCTTAATTCAAGCCGTCAGAAAGCTAATAGCGAAT